CTAGGAATAAACATGGGGAGCTCCCACTGGAAAATCTAGGATACTTTCATTCTTAATTGCTTTGATTACCAAGCTAGGTAGGAACTGGGTTCCTCTGAGATCCTTTAACCAAAAGATGCTGTGCATTCTCCTGCTGCTTTACACAAACTGTTACACCAAGCATGGCTTCCCCTTGCTGCACTCCAACCATCTTATTATTTACCTCTGTGGTACTTAACACATGACTTATGCATCATCCATTGAGGTTTGCAGGGGCTAAAGGAAGTGCAAAGTGTTTCATGCACTACTTTCCATATATTAAAGCCAATCCTATATATATATATGTCCTATATATATATATATGTCCCCTACAGTGGTACAGAGTATCCATAGGTTCAGATCATCCCAAACCCCCTTAAGAGCTGATGCTTCAGCACCAGGCATTCTTCAGTGTGGGTCTTGCTCTGTGGAGCAGGAAGCAGTTTTGTTTCCACATCACTGCAAGTCATGGCCAGGAGCCCCAAGTAACACAGCACTGCAGGGCTAACGCTGCTGATGTACCCAGCTAGAACAAAAGTTCAATAACAGTCACGTCAAAAAAAAATTCACTTACTACAGCAGGGAACATTTTTGTGAAACAACAGCACCATCATCTGGTCAAAGGGCTGCTCTGCTTCGTGCCTTACCAGATCGCTCATGGGCGTTTTGGCATCCATCTCAGCAGCTCGAGATTCTACATTGATGCCACAGCTCTCCTGTAATCGTGCTTCGATTAAAAGTATATATATATATTCACTCAGGATGTCTTTTACCGTTTCACCATTGTTGTCTCATCTTTCTGGAGTCAATATTATTAATGCTTCCCTTTCCATAAGTCCCACAGGATGGGATTTTCAGACGCAACAGATCTTCACATGAGCTCAGGAAAAATCCCTCATCCCAAAAACTGCAAATGCATCCCTAGCCAGCTCCACTGGAACAGTGGGAAAGGTGGGCATTAATCCAGCCATGGCTCAAAACATCCTTTTTGCAACCCATTGGAAAGGGAGCACAATGGTTGCTTTAGCACACATTTGTGCATGCTGTTCTTTTATGTTTGTTAGCTGTTAAGTAACAGAGGCACTCCTGCCTATTGAATGACTAACTCTGTCTCCCTTGCAATGGGATGCAGCGAGTCCACCCACTGTCTCATTCTCTAAGGCACCCTACACAGCTGCCACAGATGACCAGAACAGAGCATAGGCCACCTGCTGCTTGAAAGAGAGGGATGCTCAGGGCCAGCAACACAGATATGGAGACATGAGGAAAAGTAATTCATGCACAATATAGGTTAGAAGTAGTTTAGCCTTTTGGCTTTCCAGCACGCCTGAGGTGAGAAAGCTTTGTGCAACACAACAAACCCAAACCCTGCTTTCGGTACCTTTCCAGGACACATCATTTGATACATCAGATTGTAGTTATGCTTCTGAAGGCCTGATAAGGATTTTAAGCTGTTCAATCTTACTTTGCAGTGCAAGGAACACAGCACACTGCAGTACACTACTTCCAGTGGCAGTACTGAGCCCCTGGAAAACAGCCCAGGCATGGGAGTGTGATGCACCTTGGTCACAGAGGGTGGGTACTGATGAACAGTACTGCGTAATTTAGTACCACTAATGAAGTTGCAGCAGGGCATTCACCAAGTGATTTTTAAAGCACATATCGCTGATCTCTTAGCTGTGCAATATGCAGCACTTAAGTGATGGATCCAGAAACAGCTCTGCCACCCAGCCTCTGGGGAGCAGGAAAATCCAAGGACAGTAACCCTGGCAGCAACTACAAATCCTTCTGTCTGCCTGACTGCCCCAGCAAAGCACAGTGAGAACCTCAGTGGGGATGTATTCCAACAACCAGGTTGAACAGGGTGCAAAAACTCTCATGTTCAAAAGATTCAAACCAAGAATCTTCCTTAAAAGCTTTTAGCTAAGCCAGTATATGTCAAGAAAATGTTTCTCATTTTTAAAAACCAGCATTTTCTACTGTAATAAAAAAAAAAAGCCTGGAAAAAAAATCAGTTAGCTCTTACCTGTCTCACCTAAACTCATCAAATTCAGTCTAACTGAATTACATCAAACAATCGCAAGTGAAGCTGGCGTGAACAAGCAGTGCCCACACAAATCACACCTAAATCTGACCCATACCACAGGCAAACACTACAGAAGATACAGTTGGAATACAAGAAGTGCTGTCTGACCATCAGGAAGCACTTCTGTGCAGTGCAGCTGACAGAGCACTGCCTCAGGGCACTGTGGAGTCTCCTCCTTGAAGATGGTCAAACCCTGCCCAACAACAGGCCCAAACATCCTGCTGGGGATGGCCTTACTGCAGCAGGAGGAGAACCAGATGAACGCAGGATCCCCACCAACATCACTCACACTGTAACTCTGTGAAGACGAACTGCTGCATACCATAAGCTTAAATACTAGAGTTTCAAAATAAAGTCAGTTAAAGCCCTTCAGAAGTAAATCCACTGATGGAAAGACCATCAAAACACTGCCAAAATTCAACAGCTGTATGCTTGGGTATTTCAGTAGATGAACATTCTGTAGTATCTCAAATGATCTGTTACTGCTAGCCAGAAGACATTCAGTAATTGAATGCAGTTTGCAATGCAGTCGGGAGCAGGCACACAAGATAACCACGCTGGCACTGCACAGCTCATTGTTTTAGGCTACAATTGACAAAACTCTACTGATGAAGATTAAACACAGCTGCAAGACCCAAATGGACAAGATGGACAAAGTGCTGGGGATAAAGAAATAGAGGAGTATGAAACTCAGCAGTCATACATAACTCATGAGAATGGCTGGGAATATTTCAACATGTATCTTTGGTTATTAAAAGGAAAACAGAGCATGAAGACTTGAATAAAAACTCACGAAAAATAAAGCTGTGTGAAAGGGCTGCTTATCTGCAGTAATGGCTACAAAGATTGTCTACACTGAGTGCTTTTGTTAATAGCAGAAATCATGATACTTCAAGAATACACAAAAGGACACTGCTAACTTTTAGAGTTGCAATGCTTCTCAGATTTTGGAGTCTGCAGGCATTTATCTCAACTCACTAAAGCAAACACAACTGTCTTCTGCTATATCAAAAACTGAAAAGCTGCCAGCAACACTTACGCGTACTGCAGAAAACATTCTGCACGACTTCCATCTGGTATTCATCAATCTGAGTGGATGTAAGGATGGCATATGTTAGCATTCTCCCACAGCCCAGAGAAAGTAACCATCTCGCTCTCCTTGGTGGAAGCATCTCATTTTTTGCATCAGATATTTTTTTATTCGGTCGTTTTTAAACAAGCTTCAAACTCTCATACTGGAAAGCAGCCTTCTAGGCATTCCCAATGGACTCACCACCCTGCTGTGTGCTGCTGTGCATGGGCTTCTATGGCACAAACCTACTTACAAGTCAGTGAGTCTGACAATCAGGCCACAAAGAGCTCCTGGCCACACCACTAAAAGATATGTTGGTTGTTGCTTTGCCCACAGAGCACACATCAGCCTCCATATAAGAGAAAAGAGAAACAAGACTGAAACGCACTTTGTTTTCCATTATTTGTACTGTTAATTTTGCTGCAAGTCTTAAAACCACAGACAAGCTAAGTCTCCAGGACCAAACTAACAGTTCCAGACTTTTTTTTTTCCTACCACTACCAATAGCACATACTTCTCCAACAGGCCTCACTGCAGAGGGAAAATAGCTGTCTTCTACATAGAGACAAATACAGAGATGCATGTATTTACTAAAATACAGTCTGGAGGATTAAAGAATTAACGTGGTGGCATATTTAAGTGCAAACAAATGGATGATCCAGCTGAACTCTGGGAGAACACAGGGGCTCAAGTTTCTGACTGATCAACCACTGCAAAGCAAAGCCCAGTGAGCTCGTGGCAAGATTCCTTTGCACGTGAGCAGACACCAGCTCAGGTTCCAGCCTCGCAGCACCAACACCAAGCCTGCTTTCTCAAATTTCAGCTAGCAGATGTGCAGCAGAGTTCTATCTGCCAAAGAGGCACAAGCTTGTGTTTGTTCTTTCTCATGTCTTCTTATTTTAAAACTATTTCTATTAAATAAATTAAACAGCAAGAAATGCCAGACAATGTTGGATGAATAGACAAAGGAATTCATCAACTATTAAAAAGCAAAACCAACAAAAATAGTTTCAATTGAAAACAGTCCCTCTTTCCCCTCACAACTATTTTCTTTGAGTCTGAAAGTCCCAGCGCTGTTCTCTGCATTCCATGATATTAAACTCCTCAAAATTGAATGAGAAACACACAAACCTGAATAAGCAAGCTGGCAGCAAAGTTGCACCAACTACAGGGAAATGAAGCTTTCAGCATCACCTGCCAAGAACAATCCAATAAGGATTATTTCTAATGCTTTGTTTCATAAGGAAGAATAATAATTTTTTGCCAATATGGCCAGAAAATGTGATACAGAGAAAACACATCAGTGCAGAAAAGCAGATCCAGAGTGTCTATTCCAGCCTTCCCTGCCCAGGCAGAATTAGCTGTGCGTTTATCCCCATGGGATGTTGTTCTGACATTTAAATGTGGTGGGGTTTTTTGTTTGGTTTTGTTATGCTTTCCCTATATCATTCCAATCCCAGTATGAATTTTTTTTCTTTGAATGGCAGCTCAGTTTTTGCACTGTGTTTAGGTAAGATCCTATCACCGCATTGCACAGCAGCCTGAGGACTGATCTTTGTCCAAATTTTAACTAACACAGGAAGAACGCGAACTATCAGAATTGTTTAACAAAGTTGTCTTAACAAACAGGAAAACTGCAGTCACCTCAGTGCCTCGTTTGGGTGACAAACCATTTGTTGCCTGAATCCAGCCCTGCAGCTGATGGGCTCCTTGGCACAACCCACCTGCAGCACTCTGAGCAGCAGAGCCTGCTGTTGGCAGCTGAAGATGGCAATGCTTCCCAGGACAGAAAGAAACAGGGAAAATTACCTTCAGGCTTTCATCCCTCCCAGTCTAATCCTTGTTAAAATGATAGCTGCAATAGAAAAAAAGGATGGAGTGACACAGTGTAAGAACGTGTGACAGCACAACTTCCAGCTGAGCATAACTGTTCTTTCTAGAAATAAAGCAACTCCTCAGTGAAAGATTCCCCAACTTGAGGGATGTTGTTCCACTGCCTGATCACCTTCAGTGAGAGTTTTGTACCAGATTTCCTGATTTCAACACCTCTAGTTTCAGATTCCATACACTGAAAGCCTTGGGCCAATTACCACTAGATGAAAGCCATTTCAGAAGCAGAACCACCCCTATATTAATTACCCCTTCCAGTGTTTTCACACAATATGAACCTGAGAAAAGGTGTGGAAGAGTAATCTTGATGCAAGTGTTCCTTTGTACCATCTGAAACTGACATGCTATTCCCCTAACTATCAGAAGAAATCTTTACCATCTACATTTAGGGTTTTTCCCCCCATCTTAGTGCTGTAGAAGAAACGATAACTATTGATTTCATGTGTAACTACCCATTTTTCTATTTCCAGTATGACATAGTTCAGTAAAATGAATAGGAACAGGAGCAGTGCTTTATAGTGGCATCGTATTAATGGCTGTGGGACTAACCACATCTTACCAAGCTGTGAGCATCAACAAGCCAAACTCAAAGCAGAAGATATGCCCTCAAGCTTCTTACTTAATCTGTCTGATATAGACTTCATTTTTACATCATGGGACTATACGTGGTCTGTAGAAGCAGTTCAGTCTTAGCTGTTTGGCCACCTACCTCCTGCATCGAATAATATAAAAACTGAATAAAAGTATACGAAGGTCCTTCTAGCCTCAGCAGTCACTCATATTGTGAAAATCAGATTAGATCAAGAATTGCTCTTATTTTTCCAGTCTTGCCTCTCATCCAAGCACGTGGATTGAAACAGTTCATGTCTATTCATAATTTATTGGAGCATTTGCAACTTACATCAGAAATACGGGCCTAGCCTGCAGGAAAAACAATGACTAATAGCTGAAAGAGTGCATTGCAATTAGTCACTGCAAAATACACCCATGCTCACTGCTCGGTCCTCGGGTGCCAGCAAAGTCCAATAAGGGAAGTCTGTCACAAAATATGTCATCCAGAGAAATACACCACTGTCAGATGGCTGTAGCAGTTAGATCACAGACCAGGATTTTCCCCTCCTGGTACACACCTGAAGGAAAACCTATGTTTACAAGTGTTCCCAAAGAGCTGATCCCCTTAAGGAAGCTGATGGGAAGAGCTGTGCTCTGACTACACTCTCACCACCAGGACACACTCATTCTCCTTTGCAAGACCTGGACCAGACTGTATTTTCTCTTTTCAATTCCAGCACTAAGCACAGAGACAAACAATTACAGGAGCTAGAAGATGCTGCTGCTCAGAGGCAAGTTGCTGCTCATCTGTCACCTCTTGCTTGTGTAGAATGGGGATTCTGCTCTGGTCACGTCAGCAACTCAGCAGGACATTGTAATTGATGTCCCTACTTCTCACAGTCATTTCTCCTCTCACTATGCTTTGCCAAATGTCACTCAGGATCCACCTGGGTGCTATTTTTGACATCTCTGCCATAGGGATCCTACAGGGATCCTTGGATAAAGTCAATCAGGAAGCATTTGTACATCTCAAGTCAGGTTTACTGAAAAAGGCTTTTGCTGACAACAGTGTTCACCTCTGTGGCCCTTCTTTCAAGATTCAGAGCATTTCCAGTATAAATCCAGGTGCTGGAGACAAACACTACAATTGGTTCACGCTCTTCAGACTCACAGCAACGCAAGGCATTTTGCAACCAGGAATTTCATGGGCAAAGCAAAGCTGGTTTAGAGATGCCTGAGGGCAAAGGGAGCCACAGCATTTTCCTTTCCTTCTCTTTCCCCCCCTCTTCCTCCTTATTAGCAGCTGGCTTAACACACACTTCCTCTCATGCCCCAGCCACGGTCAGAGGCTGTGCACTCACACTGTTTAGATGAGAATCATGCCTGCTTCATTTCTACAGTTCTACAGTTTCTACAGTTGCAGATGGTCACAATTAACAGCTTGCTTTGGAAAGGCAGAGGACAGTGCATCTGGAAGGGGTTCCTTGTGCTTCTACGGCACTGAAGGAGTTTCACATTAAGAGTTTCCAGTGTGCTTTCCAGTAACCCAGGTGACATTTCTATGGGATTTTACTACAGATTTTATTTACCATTATGGACAACAAAGCTTACGGAACTTGAGACATAACTTAGTTTTTAAAGGCAAGCTCCTTCCATCTGGGCAAGTTGCTAGGAAGAAGGTAAGAAATGGAAGACTTCAGGAATACTAACGGCCCTCTCTGTTCACATAAAAAGCATGTTGCCTTCCTGAATACATTATGCTAAATCTGCATGCAAATGAGAAATGTATAAATAGAATTGGGCATTAACTGACATAAGATTTTTTTTTAAATGGAGATGAGGCAGAGGATGTTATTAAAGGAGTTAAGCTCTAACATCTGTTTTTAATTCTACTAGCTTATTTGTCTGTTTATACCTACAGGCTTTCAAGACATCACTTAACACTACTAATTAAAGCTGAAAGTTTTGTTCACAGCAATGCTTTCTTGTATCCCTGCAAGTACTTACTCATGTCCCTGCTGTCATTGCAGGTGACAGCTTCTTGATGGAGGGATGACATGAGGCCAGACTGCCTCCACAGGGAATGGGAAGAGGTTCACCTTGTCCCATCTGACAGAGGAGCAAGTGATGGATGGCAGCAACCACTACTCTGCCCACAAGTCTTTGTCTCAGCTCCAGGCTGTGTCATAATCTGACCCATTTTCTACCATAGCTGAATTGAAGAACAAAACCAACACAACATTCAAAAGAATATTTCTAAAATGCTCCAGAAATGGGGCTCTGATTTAACAGTATGACATTGACTACACAGAGAAGATGCACCGTGTTACAGATGCACACACATCCAGCTTTTCTTAGCACTGAGAATCCCATCTGCACTCAGATTAAGAAAATTTGGTGTTTTTTTCTTCAGGACAAGCAATGCAATGCTCGTTTGAGAGTAGCACTGCACAGGCAAGTAGTCCGTGGCTGTGGAAGTGCATGCAGAAGTGGCTGAGATGGCTTACCATGAAGCACTTCACAAAAGAAGCCACAAACATAAGTACCAATGAGTTTATTAATTGTTTCACACTTTGGACTTGAACTTCAGACATTCAGCCATAAACATTGTTCATTAGCCACTTACATCAGTTTTGCTTTAAAACAGACACCCCGCACCATTCCCAGCATACTGGTGAGAGGTCAAGCAAGCTGACAAGAGGCAGCCCATTATAAAACCCCAGTCTCTCAACCCTTGCATCATACATACTTTCTATCATAAGCCCACTATCGCTCACGCAACCAGCATATGGCGGCAGCTGTGATGCACAGTGGGCTGAGCAGACACAGACATGCACAAAGAAGAGAAATCTAAGAGGTAATGAGTCAATCCCTGACTGTGCACAGTATCACGTTCGCTTCTTGCCATGCAGTGGTTTTATTTTTTTTAAACCAGGAGTTTCACAATCTGAACAGACTTTCTTCCCCTTTTTAGAACTGCCAGTGTGCTTTAAAGTGTATTTTTAAACCTGTTTCAGTCTGGAAGAGAGCTTTTGTTGCATATACTACAGTGCTTATTACCTTGAGGCCTGGCTCCCTGGGTGAGGTGTCTAGACATCTCTGCAGTGGAAATAACTGCACAGCCCAGCACTGTCTTGAATCCACTAGTTTTAGAATTAGGAGTAATTTCATGCCCCAGGTTACCATAATCAAACACATCTGTTGCATGGAAATTATCCACTGCCAACTTGACTGCAAAGCACAACATGCACAGATTATCTGTGTTCTGAAGATCAACTTTACTTCCTAAAAGGCTGCATTAAGCACCACACGTCATAACACCATCAGCACAGGTACAGTCATTCTGAGACTCACGTGGGACTCGAGCAGATCCAGAGACTGACTTTAAGGATAGGAGGACAATTCGTGGTAGGTTCAATGAGTGATATTGCAGACACTGAACTGCATGCCAGGAAAATAAGGACTGTCTGAAATACTTAAATATTTCCACAAAAATGAATTAGAGCATTCCGCTCAATCCTTTGAAACATGAGTTATAACAAAAACCATTAATTTAAGTCAATTTTTAGCCTCATTTGTCTACAGCTATACTTCCATAGTTTAACACGCAAAAATATTATGACAGATATGCAAATCCAATTATTTTTAGGCAGGAAAGGTGAAGTCCGTATATAAGTTTCAAGTATGGTCATTAAAAGGAACCTGCAGCTGGCTTCTGTCATCTTTCTCTCCTTTATTCAATAAGCAGACCCACAGCTTAAGAAAAATGAGGATTTAGTCCACAGGAGGACAAGAACCACGTACCTCCCCACACAAGAGCAAGGATTCACCTTTTCCACGTATTGCCATTTGTCAAAGAAAAATGTGGTGAGAGGTGGTGTGCATGCAACCTCCTCAGGTATTTAGATGTAAAACTTCCCAAGTAAATGAAAGAAAATTTGAGTAATCCTATACAAGTGTTTTACATTAATTTAGAACACTGTGTTTTATGCTTTCTTGCCTTTTGTAGTCTAATACTCCCACCAAATAAGGGAGACGTTTTCTCAAAACTGCCACTTTTCTCCACAAAACAGAAGTATTCTTCCCATTCCCATTCATTTTCCCTCCTTGCTGCACTTCCTTTCCTGGTCTCTGGTCTGAAACGTACCATCACTCATTAGCTACATTCCACAGGTCCAGGAGGCTAAAAGCACACAGGATGCCAATATCCTCCAAATTACTCTTGTAAAGAAGCTTTTCACATCACAAAGCATCACTCACTGACATCAGACCATCTCTCACAGCTGCTCTGCACCATTACATCCCAACCACTACAAGATAAGCTCTCCAAGCAACGCTGCCCTTCTGCAAGCAGAAACACAGATAAGGGCATCCCCCAGCTAAAACTCAGCTCCCTCGTCATGTTGGAAGCAC